TTCTGGCCACGGGATCGGCCACACCCGTGGTCAGTCTTCTTTGCTTGTATTTAACTCCGTTTTCAACCATTTTTACATGGTTTTGACCCATTTTAGAACCCTAGCTTCTCTCCTTCATTTTCTTTTATATTTTAGGGTTAGATTAGGCTTATATTTAGGTTATTAAACATTTTGGAAGCTTGTTAACTTGAATTTGAAGCTTGGATTTCATCATTTCACTTCCATTTCTATAGATAAGTTGTACTTCTTTTATTTCTATATCTTGTGTTATTTTCATTATGGTTGTGTGATTAGTTCTCCTTGGAGGGAGATAGGGATGTAGGTTAGGTGTTTGATGGATGATTTTGAATTGGTTAAGGAAAGTTGAGACTTGACCTTGATGTTGTTGATTGACATGATTATTTGAGTCTCGATTAGGGAGTGACAACCTAGTCTAAGTTTAAAGAGTTGATCAACCATATATGCTTCACCTTTGAGAAAAGGGGAGTATGTGATGTCAAGAACACTAAGTGTTTGATGAAATGTCTCTTAGACATTCTTGAGTCATGAGAATGTCCTTGAATGTTCTAGGAGTGTGGGATGACCTTGAGAAATGCTTCCCTATTGTTATATGACATTTATCATCTTTTGGCCCCCAATTTGGTTTCACTATCTTGACCTACCTTTAGTTCCTATCTACCTCTACTTTCTTATCATTTGTTTTCATTATAGTGTGTTGTTTGATATTGTGTTTGTATCCAAATCAACCCTTCGGTTTGGCTAGAATTCCATGAGGAACATTAGTATTTTATGCTTGGAACAATAAAGCTCTACTCCTTTCCCCAATCCTTGTGAGAATGATATCCGGTGTAAGGATACCGTCTTACACATCCACTCACTACAACAAACTGGGCGTTTAGCGACACATATTTAGCGGCGGTTATACATAACCGCCTCTAAATGACTATTTTGAGGCGGTTATAAAAACCGCCGCTAATTTTAATATAAAGGAGCTTAAATAATTACTTCGTAGTTGTTAGCGAGATTATAAATCTATATAATTAATTATTAGCGACAATTACTTGCGGCGGTTCATCAACCGCAACTAACAACCGCCACTAAATGTTAAAAAAAAAAGTGATTCCTAATATATATATTTCAAGTGACTATTCACCGCACTTCACCGTTTCATTATCCCTTCTCACTTCAAGTGACTCTTCGCCCTAACCCTCTCACTTCACTTCGCCCTAACCCTCTCACTTCACTTCGCCCTAACACTTCTCATCACTCATTCTGCCATTTTAGCTCAAGGAAGTCTCTGAAAATTGCCCTAACCTCACTTCACCACTCCATTACGTCGATTTTAGGCTGCTGCGGTGAGAATGAGACGTGTAATAGCATCTGAGAGGATTTCCATAAGGTAATATGTATGCATTTTTTTTCAAATTGTGTTGTATGGATGAATTGAGTGTGTTTATAGATGCGAAACTATGGTTGTGTTAGCCTAATTTTAGCTTATTCACTTGTATTTTGGAATTTAAGCTTATTGACATGTTTTTTAACAAAATCTGATGGGAGTGCTTCTATAAGAAATGACGTTTGAGGAGGTTGGTTCACTCAGTTTCATTTCTGATATTTTCCTGTACAAATGGTACCAAACACTGATGGGAGTGCTTCTATAAGAAACTGAAAACTGGTTATTGAGGGTAATGATGGATGGATGGGTCAGTTCAGTTTCACTGCTCAGCATGCAATTGTTAGATCTTTTGATCTCAAAATAACAAACAGAGATGTTTGCACCTCTGATAAGCAAAGTGGTCCTTGGCTTGAGTTCTGTGCATATGTGACATGTAATTTTTAGAAGTGAGGATTTAGAATAGCAATGGCCTCTTACTTCTTTCTTCCATGTTTTGTTTTGTTTTGTTTTTTTTTTTTTTTTTTTTTTTTGTTTTTTTTTTTTTTTTGATTTGGCAAGTTTGAAATCTTCATTTATAGCTAGTGGTTATAACTCACTGTTTTTCTGTTGTGTGAAATACCACTATCTCTCTATCAAGTAGAAAACTGAAACTAATATCTTAATCTCATATTGCTGGGTAACTTTGTTTATCTGGATTTCCTAAGATTAGTTAATAAACAAGGGCAGTGTTTATTTCGATTTCCTAAGAAAGATTAGTTAATAAACAAGGGCAGTTTCACATCCAAAGCATATAATCATCTCTTCTATTAGTTGAGCACTTAAAACTTTTTACTTAATATAGTCTCTCATTGTTTTAGTCGAAGAAAAAGATGCAGGGAACTTACAAACATGCCGTTTCTATGTATGTTTGTATGCGTGTGTATAGTCCTTGCACACATACCCGCCTTTCATTTTATTTGGCAAATTAGCCGCATTAATATGTTAAAGTATTTGAAACAGGAACAGAATTTGGTCCATCTGCCATTGAGCTCAAGAGATTTTCACTTTGATGCAACTATTTGTTACTCTTGTTTTCATATTAAATGCTTGTCATGTACTCATGTGAATTTCTGAACATTAGGCAAGATTTTGAACATCATAGACTCATAGTTAATATTAACCATGTTAAGCTGGCTATTGTCCATACTTTAACATAATTGGTCACTTATAGATTTCTTTGTTCAATACTAACTGAACCTTACATTGCAGCGAGATCACCTGGCCTCTGAAGGACGGCGAATAACGAAGCTTGATAAAGTAGTAACTTCGTCGTCACTACTTGATTGATTATTGTTCCACTTTTTATCACTAATCCTAAACCAAACATAGGAATTTCTAGGAGTATGCAGTTCTGTTTTTTATAATCCCTGTCTAATTCTTGAGTATGCAGTTCTGTTTTTTATAATCCATGTCTTATGAGTCCAGATTGTATGTGTTCTGCAATATTCAATCCAGCTAATTCTTGATGTTACTGTGTTTGCTAGGTGTGAACTGTCAGTTTAGGACAACCTAGTATTTTTAGATGAGATTAGAACTTTTTAACCTTTCTATCAACATTGGTTAAATATTTTATTCTTCTTGCATTTCTGCTAATAAAGATTCAGTAAATTGTTTTACATACTGTACAATTTTGAGGGTTCATTTATGCTTCTGACCTAGCAGACCTTAAGTTGTGTTCTTGAACTGAAAATGTAAGCAGTATTTGTGTTTCCTCAAGGAGGTGACATGCTGACATCCAATTATAATCCTTAATTTTTCATTTAATGTGTAGGTATGCCAAGATCAAAAAGGTTCATGGATATGAGTCGGTCAATGTCTCATCAACAACCTTCTTCATCAACACACGAGCAATTGTTGAATGACGCACAACTTGAAGAACAAACTCAGGATAATGAAACACCTCAAGAGCAAACTCAAGATACTGAAACACGACAAGAGCAAAATGAAGATGCACCATCTTCGTTTAAAAGGAAAACAAGGACTTCGTGGGAAGTTGATGTGATTAGTAAGTTTACATTATTATATTTATTGATTGATATGTACAAAAAGTCTGAATAAATCAATACATTAATTTAGTTCCATTATGAAGAAAGATTTGTGAATAAAAAAAAACTGAAAGTTAAAGAAGTTTGGACACTTCCCTTGGGTGAAAAAGTCATTGTCCCATTTGACAAGTTTGATACACCATTCACTGAAGCAGCAGGATTATATACTGGAACACTTTCAGGGTTGGCACAGGCAAGTAGCTCATTTCCAATCAATTTTACTGATTGGAGATTGATGCCAAAGCAATATAAAGAAGATACCTTTGCCAAAATAATCAAGGTAACAAAATACTTTCAATTATTTGCTACATTCAAAAAAATAAATGTGTATTCTTCTCTATGATTGATGATTGTGAAATATAATTTATCTATTAAGGGCGGCTGCCTATTCAGATTTACGTTCCTTTATAATCATCCCTGATATGATATGTGCATTTGTATTATCTGCCTCTTCATTTCATTTTCTTTTATTTTCCATCAATTAATGTGTATTCTTCTCTTCTCTGCGGCTCTGCCTATTCAGGTTTACCTTTTTTTTTTCTTAATTTGTATTCTCAATTTTTTAAATTCAACTATAATTGATCCCTTAACTATAATTTTATTCTAATTTTTTATGATAAAAAAATTTGTTTAGAGGCATCAATTAATCAAATATGGAATAAAAATGTAAAACTTATACATTTCATGTCTTTCAACTATAGAACTATAGATGGATTCAATGCTTTCATGTGGTATTGCAGTTGTCAAATCTGCAGGTTAGCCTTGCAAATGTATATTAGATAGTGGCATAGAGAAGATACAAATGGCAAAACTTGTAAGGAGGAAATTAATTCGAAAGGTATTGGTGAGGATACTTAGGTGGTCTGATCTGATGACAATCATACCATGTGCCTTAAATTATCAACATTAAATTCACAAGAGGTGTAACTTACATAGAATAAAATATTTTTAGAAAAAAAAAAAGTCTTTCTTTTTCCAGGATTTTGGAGGACCTAGCAGAACAGTACATTTCCCATTTTTGGTAATAAATAATCATCAAAATTCTATAGTATACTATTGTCCATAAGATTAGGTGAAGTTTTGATTTTTATTCCTCTACAAAGTATTGTGTGTATAAATGATAAGTCTACTTGCACCAAATTTTGTACCATAAAGTGATTCTATTTGCACTAAATTTTATAACTTTTGATAAATGCTAATAATTACATTTGCCATGATTTGAAGCCAAAATTTCACTTCCAAAATGATGTGATTGCAAAACATTGGACACTTCAAAATATTGGGAGTAAATGGAAGGACTTCAAATCTAGGTTGTGGATAGAGTTCTATGATTCTTCCTTAAACCGAGATGAACTGATTAGTAAGTGTCCAATTGGAATTCATAGAGACCAGTGGTCAAGTTTTGTCAACTATCGTTTGTCTGACAAATCTAAGGTAATGTTTCTAATATCTGTTTGCTTATTATTGTTGTCATATTTGCCTAATGTATTAGTATTATACTCTATTATTAGGGGATGTGCCAAAAAAATGTTGAAAGTAGGAAACACCAAAAAATTGCACATACTTCTGGATCAAAGAGCTTTGCTAGGAGAAGGGCTGAGATGGTATTTCAATTTGTTTTTTTTTTTTTTTTTTTTTTTGCAATTAACTAAGTTGAATGTTTTTTTTTTTTCTTAACTACTAACAATTTAATTTTCATGCAAGGAAATTGAGCTCGGGCACACTGTTAATCGCTCAGAACTATGGATGGATACCCACAAAGTAAAAAGAGGGTCATCTGTTAATGAAGAATGTAGAATTATCACTGTAAGTATGTTTTAATTTATTTTTAAGGGTTAGATGTTACACTGCAAATTTATATTTGTTTAATGCAGGAAAAGATCAGAAATGAAATGGATCAATGCTCGCCTTCTCAATCACAATTTGTTTCACAAGATGATCCTGTTGGCAAAACCTTTGGAAAAGAACACAATGGACGTGTTCGTGGGTTAGGTTTTGGACCATGCCCATCTAAGGTATTTAAAAATACATCAAGGATGAATGAGGATAATCAAATGAAGGAGTATGTGTCCACTTTGGAGAAAGAGTTAGCTGCAACTAAAGCTCAATTGCAAGTTCAAAGTGATAAGTTGCAAGTTCAAAGTGATATGCAAAAGGCCATGGGAGGGGCTCTTGTTGCTATTTTGGAAAGAACTTTTGGCAAAGTTCCTGAAGAATTTGCTATCTTCCTTAACCAAACATCTAAACCAGTAAGTGCATACTTTTTTTTTTCAAATACTGATTTATACATTAAGAAAAACGGATTGTATGCATTTCTATATTGTTGTGCAAACACCATTGATTTCATTTAACTATTTAGAGTCGAGTATTGAAATTTATACTATGAAATGTAGGTACCCGATGAAAGAAGCAAGCTACAATCTTCACAAGGGAGTGGAAAGCAAAATTCATCCTCTAGTCATCATGTTAATGGACAATCTTCTACATGATATGCAACTGTAAGTAGTTTCATACAATCTTCTATATGAACTTTCTGCTTTGGAAGATTAAAGAATCTAAATTTGTAGCACCAAGTTAATGTTGAAGCTAGGAAATCCTTTACATTCTTAATCTGTCCTGGGGTTCATTGTTAAGGTTCTGCAGTTTCTGGGCAATGTAGGACTGCAGATTGGTCATTGGTTGTTGTTAAGGCAACTCTCTTCATTGTGACTTACCTTGTCTGCAACTGCTTATACACTCTCTATAGTCATCACTTACAAAAATGGAAAAAGACCGCGATGTCCAGTTGACTGTGAAGGCTGGAATTATATAACTAATAAAACGGCAAACAATTGCACATTTTCTATTTACATGGACTTCTTAGTAAAAATTCTCAGTAAGAATGACAACATTGTGAAGGTAGTTATTCTTTTTTTTTTTGTAATATATTCATCGTCTATCTTTTTTGGAGATATGATCGACGAAATGTGTTGTTTCATGGTTGAGCAGTTTATTCGGTTCAGCTTGGAACCAGCCATGACATTAATTTATTAACCATCCATCCAATCAAATCCATATTAAGATGTATGTATGTGTCTGCCTACATCATATATATATATATATATATATATATATATATATATATATATATATATATATATATATATATATATATATATGTGTGTGTGTGTGTGTGTGTGTGTGTGTGTGTTCTCTGAATGTCGTAATTGTTAGCAATCTAATTTGGATTTTGAATCCTACGATGAATAGTTTATTTATTTGTCTTCTGTTATCAGTTGCAGGATTATGCAAACAAATAGAGGGGCTGACTAATGATGTTGAAATATCAAATGAAATGGTTGCAGGTCTTTATGTTGCAAGAGAAGCTGGAAGAGAAGGATATGAAAGAGCCACATGAGGAATCCATCACTGCAGAGGAGATGAATTAGCTCTCTTTTGATGATAAAATTGCCACCAATGAGCTTGGATGTTGAATTGATTTTCTTTTAATATGTAAACTTCTTTGAATATTGTTAAACATTAGTATTTGGCAATACAAGTTACATTTGATTTTCATCTAAATTAAATGTGTATTTATTTGTGTTTGCAATGCACATATGAAAGTAGATGTTTACAGCAAAAAAAGTAATTTAATGACAATTATAAATTTTAGTAGCAATCCCTATTAGATGAGAAAATACAAAAAAAAAAAAAAAAAAAAAAAAAAAAAAAAAAAAAAAAAAAATCTTAAATAAACATTAGCGGCGGTTTAAAAACCGCCGCTAACATTTACGAAAAAAAAATTAAATAAACATTAGCGGCGGTTTATAAACCGCCGCTAAAATTCAAAGTAAATTTTAAAGAGCCCAAGAGAGTTAGACCTATAATGGGTAGAAAAAATGGCGGTCACAGATTTTAATCAAATGAATGGCCCAGATTAATTAAAAGATTGATCAGATTTAAATTTTACACTAAAATTTTCTAAAATACCCACACACCATTACTAATTCCGTTAAAATTTTAAGAATTGCCGTTAGTTCACCGTTAACTTATTCATTGATTTCAATAAAAAAAAAAAAAGGTCTTAGGTTCGAACCTCATCCCAATCAAAGTTGGCATAATTAGTACTCTATTTTACTCGTATTAAATTATATAAATAATAATTTAGTAGTTACAACAAAAAATAATACATATGCATTTCTTTAATTTAGAATTATGTGTCCACAATGCCTTTTTAAAAAAAAAAAAAAATTATTCATTATCAATCAATTAAATAAGAGAAATAATTTTATTAGTTATATTGTCTTTATTTTTCTTCAATATAAAAATTCTTTATATTCAAATTTATTAATTGATTATATTCGCTACATTATCCTTACAATGTCTTTATTCAGTGAAAAAAAATTTATTAATTATCAATAAATTAATTAAAAGAAATATTTTCATTAGTTATATTGTCTTTATTTTTCTCAAATGTAAAAATTTTTACATTCAAATTCATCAATTGATTATATTCACTACATTATCTATTATCTTTTTTGTGCACTATTTTTCTAATTAAATATCAAAGTTATAATACAAAATATTGCTATATATTTATTTACCAAGTATTTTATTAATACCATGAAAAAATTAAAAAAAAATATAATTAATAAAGTCAACCATATTAACTACTTGAGAGATTTTGTGACAACGAGAGTATTCAAATCACACACCAAATTGAAGTGAGAACTACCTCGTAATGTCCTTGTTTGACAATCAGCAGTTAGCGGTTAACGTTAGCGGATTATACTAGCGGATTTGACCAGCGAATTTATTTAATTATTAACATTATATTGGGTAGAAAAAATGACCACCAAATTATTAAATCAATTAAATTCTTTATATTCAAATTTATTAATTGATTATATTTGCTACATTATCCTTACAATGTCTTTATTCAGTGAAAAAAATTTATTAATTATCAATAAATTAATTAAAAGAAATATTTTCATTAGTTATATTGTCTTTATTTTTCTCAAATGTAAAAATTTTTACATTCAAATTCATCAATTGATTATATTCACTACATTATCTATTATCTTTTTTGTGCACTATTTTTCTAATTAAATATCAAAGTTATAATACAAAATAATGTTATATATTTATTTACCAAGTATTTTATTAATACCATGAAAAAATTAAAAAAATATAATTAATAAAGTCAACCATATTAATTACTTGAGAGATTTTGTGACAACGAGAGTATTCAAATCACACAACAAATTGAAGTGAGAACTACCTCGTAATGTCCTTGTTTGACAATCAGCAGTTAGCGGTTAACGTTAGCGGATTTGACCAGCGAATTTATTTAATTATTAACATTGGGTAGAAAAAATGACCGCCAAATTATTAAATCAAATGAATGGTTCATATTGTTCAGGTTTTAATTTTTTCTTTTAAGATTTTCTAATTTATCCTTAATTATATGATTATCCATTTAACTTTTCCGTTAATTCACCGTTAGTCTAATTCTAATATTAAAGTCTAATATAGAATTATAACTACACCATTAATCTAATTCTAATATTAAAGTCTTAATAGAACTTAACCACAAATCCTAATGTCGGAATCTCCTCAAACAATACTAGTATATATTTAATATTTTATGTCCTAATTTTTATTTGTTCTCCCTTATGTCCCGTATTTGGTTTCAACGATACCTATACAATTATTTTATTGACAATTATAATCAATCTTGACTATATTATCTTGCATTTGTAAACTTAGAATTACCTATTTAACCCGCACGGGCTTAGCTCAATGGTTTAGTGGGTAGTATTTGGGAGAAGAGACGAAGGTTTGAACCTCGACGGCGGCAGTGCGGGAATTATGTCCAAAGTGGGCAGATTCCTTGTGCGTATCAGCATTTGGCCCTGTCTGCTGAACCATTGAGTCACCGTTACAACTTCCCACAATGCTCTGTCGGGTCGGAGTGTGGGGGGCCCTTGGGGTTGGGGACTCAACCTTTGGGAGAAGAATTACCTATTTAAATACGCAAATTCAACCTTCAATTATCTATGCTTGAATAATTTCAATATAATCCTGTCTTAATATACTTTAAAGTACTTATTTTAAAAAAAGCATTGGGCATTATCCCAATCGCGCAATGCGCGTAAAAAACTAGTATACTAATAAGAGCCCAAGAGAGTTAGGCCTATAATGGGTAGAAAAAATGGCGGTCAAATTTTTTAATCAAATGAATGGCTCAGATTGATCAGATTTTAATTTTTTCCTTAAGATTTACTAATTTATCCTTAATGAATATGATTATCCGTTAACTTTTCCGTTAAATATTACCTTTTTCGTTACTTTCTGTTAGTTCACCGTTAACTTACTCATTCATTTCAACAAGAAAGGTCTTAGGTTCGAACCTCATCCTAATCAAAGTTGGCATAATTAGTACTCTATTTTAGTCTTATTAAATTAAATAATAATTTAATAGCTACAACAAAAAATAATACATATGCATTTCTTTAATTAAGAATTATATTTGTGTCTACAATGTCGTTATTAAAAAAAAATTAGTCATTATCAATAAATTAAATAAGAGAAATAATTTCATTAGTTATATTGTCTTTATTTTTCTCCAATATAAAAATTCTTTACATTCAAATTCATCAATTGCTTATGTTTGCTACATTGTCCCTACAATGTCTTTACTAAAAAAAAAAAAAAAAAAAATTATTCATTATCAATAAATTAATTAAAAGACATAGTTTTATTAGTTCTATTGTCTTTATATTTCTCCAAGTAAAAATTCTTTACATTCAAATTTCAAATTCATCAATTGATTATATTCACTACATTGTCTATTATTTTTTTGTGCACTATTTTTTAATTAAATATCAAAGTTATAATACAAAATAATGCTATATAGTTGTTTACCAAGTATTTTATTAATACCATGAAAAATTTTAAAAAATATAATTAATAAAGCCAATCATATTAACTATCTGAGGGATTTGTTGACAAAGAGAGTATTCAAATCACACAACAAATTGAAGTGAGAATTACCTCGCAACGTCCTTGTTTGACAATCAGCAGTTAGCGTCAGCGGAATATATTAGCGAATTTGACCAGCGAATTATACCAACAGTTCGTAAAAAGATATTTGAAAAAATTAGTTGTTGTTTAGATTAACATGTAAAATGACCTAAGGGTATGTTTTAAAAAATAAAAAAATATAATTAAGCCAATCATAGTTTTAAAAAATAAAAAAATATAATTAAGCCAATCATATTAACTACTTGAGGGATTTATTGACAAAAAGAGCATTCAAATCACACAACAAATTGAAGTAGGAAACAACCTCACAATGTTCTTGTTAGGAATATATTGTAGAAGTTTTGATGAGCCAAATGTATTTTGTAGACCCCAATTTTATTTTATTTGAGTCAGTTCTGGTTCACCGAGTATAGTGCACCACTGCCATGAAGCCTACATGAAGTCTACGAAAAAGCAGTTTTAAAGAAGAATAAATGAAAGCGGGATCATAGCTTAACAGATTTATGAAGCATTAAATTACCAAAGGTCGAGATGTATGAGATGGTAGAAGACTTGTTGAAGCATGCCTAATGCAAGATGATACACAGTTTGATTCTCATTAGAAGCAATTTTGGTGTAAAGATGAATTGCTATCGTGATACACAGTTTGATTCTCATTAGAAGCAATTTTGGTGTAAAGATGAATTGCTATCGTGAAGTAGCAATAT